AGTGCAAGTAATTTTTTTGTGTGATTCGAACAAATATGGCTGACTGGCAGCTATTTTGTTTTTCATGGTACCCATGCTACTTTCTCTTGAATGCAATGAACGTTTCTCTTTAAATTTTGTACAAAGATAGTATACCAAGGGATACATGCACACCAACATTATTTTTGTGATTCGATTCAATATGGCCGGCCAATGCCCAATTTTCATGTAAAAGTGCTAAATCTTAATTTTTGCATGTCCGGAGCTGTTTCTCAGAGATGACTAGGCCAATTTTGATCAAAGTTGATATGAAGATCATACATATTGGGTTATAGTTGCATGTCATATTTTTTTTGTGATTCAAACTAATATGGTTGACTGGTGGCCATTTTGTTTTTCATGATACCCATGCCTACTTTCCCATGAATGCAATGAACATTTCTGTTTAAATTTTATACAAAAACAGTATACCAATAAATACATCAACATGAACATTACCGTATTTTTGTAATTTGATTCAATATGACTGCCCAATGTCCAATTCTCGTGTAAAAGCACTAAATCATAATTTTTACAAATCCATCTCCTATTAATGGTTTCAATCTAATCTCAATGACTTCATTAGCATCAAATTGATATGTCAGATCACAAAATTTTGGACGAGGATTGTGTCATTAACAATGACTTGTTGATTCAATTTTCTTTAACTTTGTCAGTGTTGTCAGTCTTGACTAGAATAATTATCCATCTCATAATATTTCACTTATTTAAGTGAAATACAACAAGTGCTAAAAGTGTAGCGACATTCTCAAGGGATTTGATTACCTTATGTGGTTTTCCAGAAATTGGTTCTGAATATATAACAATTTTAAGAAATCTGAGAATAACATTCCTTCATTTCTTAAGTTCTTTGAGTCAGTAAATCAGCAAATCATGTCGTAACTACAGTGACTTCATAGTTTAATTAACATGACAAATATCATTGACTAAGAAACTATGTACCTTTATGCAATGAATTTCATGATTTTTTTTTTTAATATTTATAAATGTTTATTAATTTCAAATGATGGTTAAAAACAACTAAACCAATTGCACCACATTAATATAAAAGGGAAAAAGAGCACTGAATTGACCAATGATTGAAGGAAACACAGAGAGACATATGGGTTATGGGTGTAACAAAGTGGTTTCTCTATGGATGATCTTTGGATTTGAATAAAGCACAAGAATCTTTCAGGATAAATATTATAGAAATTTCCATGAAAAAAGTTCATGCCTTCATGGAATTCGCTGTAGCTGTTTCACTATATTTTAACTTTACAGACATAATCAGTACAACTATGACCCTGATTACTCAAGTGATGGAGATGATAAAGATGATTTTATACAGTACACAGATGAAGAGAGTAGCAGTGAATCAACAGATGCTGATTCTTCAAAAAGCGCAGATTCTGAATCAGAGTGTGCTAATGCAAAGATTCTTTCTACATGTAACAGGGGACGACATGGGTGTGGGAACAGTAGAGATAGGCAGAAAATAAAAAGTAGAAACAAAAGAAAAAAATCATATGCTGAATCATCTCAGAGAAAGCAAGCAACTATCTTATCATCGGATGAGGAATGTACCAGTGATGAAGTCGGGAGATCAAAGGCTATTCAGAAAAATAAAGTTGGGCAAAAACGAAAGAAGTCGTTTGATTGCTCTCCATCCAGTGATGAAAGTAATGAGAAAGTGTTTGTGAGGAAAAGAAAATCTTCAACATCTCGCACTTCTGCTTTGGTGTCTTCAGATGAAGAAAAAGAGGTTTTCACCGTGCGGAGGAAATCTCATCGTGTGAGAAACTCAGATTGGCAAAATAAACTTGCGGCATATAAAGCGCAAAGACAACTAAAAACTGCAAATAAACAGCATGTATCTACTGATAATTCCTGATACTGTGAATCATTAAAGTACCTGAGAAATTCCAATCATCACCTTTATCTTTTGTAGCTGTTGAAGAATGGGCACTGTAAATTTCACTTTTAAATCTTTATGCATGTGTGTCATAGAAAAATAAGAAAACCCTGGATGGTAAGCCATGTCCCCACATATGAACATTCTATTTTAGCCCTTCAATTGCCAAGTCACTGTTTACACTGGAGTTTACCTATCACTAAAACAACAGTTATAAAAGTACATAATGTTGGCTGTGTTATTATCTAACCCAGTCTTGGCGGTGAGGAGTTAGATTCATGAAACATTTTTTTTTATATATATGTAGTCGGGTTGGTATCCGACTACATGTATATAAAAAAATGTCTTTTTGAGATTAAATAATTGTAATGCTGTCCAAACTTCCAACACGTATTCATACTATCTGTCTACTAGTGTTTTAAAAATATGACCCTTGCATTTCTGAGGCACTTCAACTGTTTACTGGGATTTAATTTGGCTATTTTTGCTGACAACTTCACAAGTATAAATTTGCTCATAAATTAAATCAATGTGAACATGTAAATCTGATCATTTTATGGGAAAATCCATGAATTTATAAAGCAAGTGAATATGATAAAATAGTGAAATTAAATACGTGTACCAGTGAAAATAACAATTCTTTTTACTGTATTACAGCCATTCTGAGAGTTATTCAGACAGTCAGTTTATAATAGCAATATATCTTGGAACTTTGATTGCAATCCAATCTAGACTTGATGACGCCATTGTATTGACACGCCCACAATTGGGATCATTCGAATATCTTGCTAGATGCAGGTAAAACGCTGTTTTCAAAACGACACGCATTCGTTACCATACATTAACAGGTTATATGTTGTATATGCATACTAAGTGTTATTTTAAATTGTTATGACCATCAAAGTCCACCTGACAATGCGCAATTTACAAAACAACCCCCCCCCCCCCCCAAGTGTTTAGGTATTGATGAACTCTTCGTTGGCGGGAAGGTTCAAAGTAAAGTTTCTTAGCATTGGACGTGCTGCAGCTTTGCGACAGTTTTGAGCCAAACTAAAAGTTGTTTTTACATTACTGGTGCATTATGTATCAAATTCAGATTTTATACTGAGGTGAGAGAGTACGTCAGGAATACACTGACGGAAAACTTGATTATACCGGTTTGATGGACTTTGTCAAATAAAAAGTGCCTTCCTTGAGCAAATCACTTTTTCAACTGCATTTTGAAAATGACGAAGGTATGACGACCGTTATTATGTTTAGTCCATTTTTGTAACGGGTACAACTGACTTAAATGAGCGAGGGTTGACATTTTTCGACAAATTTTCGCAACTTGAGATTTTTAAAATTACTGAAAATAATAATACATTATAAATATAAAAATAAAGAATGGTTGCTGTATACGCACACTGGATAATACTTGCAATTCACCATGCCGACAACCCCTATAAACTAGTAATCCCAAACCACGCGCCCGTCAATCAAGTGGCGCTGACAAGTCTAGATTGGGCAAAGTCCAAAGAGTTTTGCAAAGTTGCAAGCCAATTTGCTAACTGACTGTCCAAATAATTCACAGAACGACTGTAAATATTAATTGGCATTGGTGTAAAATAAGGTTTTGTAGTTTGATACATACTGCCATTTTAAATTTGTCAATGTTTATATAAATTATATACCGGTAAATCTGAAATCTTGTAAATCCAAAATCTTACCTTAACACATGGAGGTATATATGTTTATATACACAACCCATGCTTTTGGCTTTGTACCTATCGCTAGGTCTGTAAAATCTTAATTGTTACAGTAATTCATTGTGTGGTGTTCTTATGGTGAGACTAATATGCACCCATATTCAACTACCATCTAAATCTGCTATGGTATTTGGAATGGTAAATGTAATCATACGTATATCAAAAGTAATATTGATTGCTTT